CTGTGTATGTGTGTGTTTACGTGCGTGCACGTGTTAATATCTATTTGTGTCTGCAGTGTTTAATGTCTGCGGGTGTCCATGTGCATGTATGTGTCCATGCTACAAACCCGACAACCCTTGTTCGATTCCTGCGCATGACCAACATTAGTGACGATTATCTGAACCGGTCCTGGGTTTTCCCCTAGGCTGACTCAGACTTAAAAACGAGTACCTGGTGCGGTGTGCAAACATCAGCGCTGGGGAGACAAAGGTGACCTGCGCGTGGCGCTGGCCGCCTACCCCTTTGTGTGCCGTTTTGGTGCTAATAAGCGTTCGCTGACGGCACTTTTCCCCACAAGGGGGTTCTTTGTTTTTGCGTACATACATCCACCCCTAAGTGTGTTGTCTATGTAACCGTGTGTCTCTGTGTGAGACAGCGCAGAGCAGCTGGGCTTGGCCCTCCTGGCCCAGCTGAGCGTGGGGCTGCCTCTGGAGATGGCCCATGGCTCTCTGCGGATAGGGGCGGTTTACATGGCCGGTGTTTTAGCAGGTACCCTGGGACTCGGTACTCCCATCTCACAGCCGCTACCTCTACACTCACACCTGAGTCGCCTCTCTAAATGTGTGTACAATCGCGACTTTTTATTTTTACCCGTGGCACATCGCGGAAAGGGGAGTAGAGGGTGGAAAAAGGAAATGGAACGGTAAAGGTAAGAGAGAAAAGAATGAGGAATGAGGGTGAGTAGGATGGAACAGTAACGGAGAAACGGGGGCAAAGGGTCAGGAGAGGTGAGGGTGAGGGAGGAAGGGGCTGCATGAGGAGCTCGGTGCTGCTGCACGGAGCAACGTCTGTTTTCATAGGGGGCGGGGAGAGGGGCGGGATTCAGATAGGGGGGTGGCCACACAGGTGTCACGTGTTTTACGGGAGGCTTGAGCTGATTCCGATACATAGATGTACGGTCACCGCAATGTTTAAATTAAAAAAAACCTTGGATCGAACCCGGGATCATGAAGAGTAATCGAATCATCGTGCCGGTTGAATCACTCCACCACCAGTGAAAACGTAAACGGTCAAAATATCTCGCATCGTGTGCACGGTGGCAACACGTAAGTTCATCGTCAATGAACATTTAAACAATGGACAACGAATTAGCAGTTGATCGCAATTTAACATTCAGAAATACGTTTTCAATGAACAATAAAGAGCTGATATTATGGAGACAACAGGATCAGAATTAGAAATTGTATTTCCCAAGAAAGGATCGTTAAGCTAAGATGGTCTTTTCAAGGGCGACTCGTCAGCTCGTGTGCAGCAGCGAGATGTTATCTCTTCGCTTGGTACGCAGGAAGTCGTGGCTTCGACCCTGACGCCTGTATATTTGGAGTTTGCATGTTCCTAACCCGTAGTCATGTGGATTTAGAAACATACGTTTCAAGTATTTGGCTGCTATACATTTCCACGTGATAAGCCACTTCGTTGAGCTATCATTTGTGACCAGGTCACTTCTGAAAAAGAGTTACAGTATACAGCTCAGTGAGCCTTATCTGGTAAAATACAAGTTTAGTTTAATAGTTTTGCGTGCAGCAGCGAGATGGATGGTGGCATCGCAAAGTCTACAAGGGTTTGCGATGGCCCATGTGCGATTGGTAGCTGAGATATTGATGAAGAAACAAGAATGCAGAGTATAATAATAGGGTTTTCCCCTTTTTTCTGGCAACAAAACTAAACCTTTTTATGAGGATTCATGTCTACATTAACCACAATACCTGCAGTCAAAATGCAAACAAAAAACATACCATGATAATATATGCATTGTCCTTGAAACTGATTGGTCCACACCAATGGACGGCTTTGTTTTGAGCCTCGACCCAATTGGTGCTCGACCAGATGACGCCAAAAGGGGAAAAACCCTATTATTATATTTTGATACTGGCAAAGGAGGTCTAATTATGAAGAATGCAGAGTTCATTTGTAACATTATATAACTTGATTTCCGGTACGGTGCATTTCAGCTGTGGAAGAGGGTCGAGTTCAAAAGCAATTACATTCGCAAAGACCGAGCAAACAATCAGATCTCATCTAAATGCCTCTTTAACTCCAACGCCAACGCAGCCTGCATGTACGTGGTTAACAGATGACCAGACCCTCTTTAGGCTCCAGTCGGGGCGCAGATGTTGTATGCGAAGGCTGTGCGACTGCACCGGGGCCCACCGGCTGGAGGGACTCAAGCGAAGGGCTACGGAATAGAGGGGAGGGATCGGGGGGGGCCCTCAATTCCATTCCCTGCACCAGGGCCCAAACCAAACTATGCTACGCCACCGAAGTTTGGGTGTCGTGACAAGAGTGGCTTTTATTTGCTTAGGGAGGCTTCAATGAGTCTCACGACTTCTTTTTTCAGGACGGTCCTGGCTTTTGAGTAGGAGTAAAACAGAGAATCGTGGAAAACAATAAAAGCCATGTAGATAACAGACTAAACACTCAAAAACACTGCACAGATGGATTAAATGCGTCGTTGCACTGCCACCTCCTGGGGCCTGAGCTGGCCAGCATGCAGGTAGTGCGAGATCAGGCGTTTGGATCGTGTAAAGCAATAGTAGGATTTTGAGTGCGGGCTTGTACTCAAAAAGCAGGCCTTCAAGAAGCTTAAAAAGTGGAATGTGAAATTATTGTTGTTGTCAGCCTATAACTTCCCACTGCTGTGCATAACCCCCCCCCATTCCTTTCCATTCCCTCCTCTCCTCAGTCGTCTCTGTCCAGAAGCGGCGCCTGAACCTTGCGATGTTCGAGCTTGTTCTGCTCAGTGTCGCTCGCGTTGTGACCCACCAACGCTTGAATTGTGTCGGCGCAGGCTCTCTGCTGGGCTCGGTGGCAGACAGGAGGGCCCCCCTCGTGGGGTCCTCGGGAGGGGTCTACGCTCTTCTCTCCGCCCACCTGGCCAACATCGCCATGGTAACGACCCCGCGCGAACCCACACTCATGAATAGTCCTGTCTGCAGCCTGACCCCCCACCACCACCACCACTGCATCTGATCCTATTGTTTTACAAGCCCCACGAGTGCCGCGTCTCGGCCCGACGTGCCTTGACCGAGTAACCCATCGGTGCCTTCCCGTAGACGGTTCATTTTTATTGTCTTGTTTTTTTACGTGAAAAAATAATGCATCCACTTTATGTTCAGCTACAATCTAGAGTTTGTTCAGTCAAAATCTTAGAGATTGTGGCTGAGTGGCGGCGTTATGCTTTGCTCTGCGTCCCACCGGCATGACAACACCTAGTGGTTAAAAGTAAAAAAAAAGTTAAATTGGTGCATCGATTTCATCTGCTATATTAAAAAAAATCGACGTTCGCACTCACGATACACGCAATTAATTGGTTACTGACGGTTTACGTTATAGTCAGGCTAACGGCGTTAACCGAAACTCAATGATAAACAAATAAAAAAAACGACATGGTAAAAACAAGACGAAATATAATTTGTCAAAAGTAATTTTAAAAGAGGAGGAGTGTGAGGTGGGCCGGCATGGTGGCGGTGAGCGAGAGAGAGGTGCGTGCTCCATGCCTCACTGCCCCAGCCTACCTTGATTACCCAGCGGTGTCGCTATCGAGTGCGCAGGCGGTGCAACTGCACTCTGTGGCCCACGGCTCGCTGTGGAGCCAAGGCACCAGGCTTCGAAATAAGACGGGTGGAGAATTTCGAATCGGGGAGTGATGCCCCCCCCCCCCACAATTAGCATTGCTTGCACCGGAGCGGGCCCACCCCATCCACGCCACGCTCTGATTAAACATATTTACCCAATCACATTTGCCGAGCACAGCTCCAAACGCCCGAAAGCGGCAGGCGGGCCAGCGACAGACGGCGCTCGCTGGAGTTGTAATGCACGCTTGGAGCGTTATCCGAGGACACGGGGCGCACGGTCGCCACTCGTCGACCCCTCTGTGGACAGCAGCTGGATTCCCAAACGTGGACGTGGGATTGGAGTTGCAACTCAATTCATATCCGAATGCAAAGATCCCCCCGTGTAGCCTCTGCAGACTCTTGGGGCAAGTGCCGTTAGCGAGTGGCATCTACGAAGGTCGGCACGGCGCACGAGTGGGTGGGCGGCCAACACCACGCCCGGACCGCCTTTGTCTCCCTAGTGGCGATGTTTTTTTACACGCCGCACCAGGCACTCATTTGAGGCTGAGTCAACCTCGGGGAGGCCCAGGACCGGTTCACGTAAATCGTCGCCGGTGTTGGCTGTGAGCCGGGAATCGAACTCGGGTCGCTGGGTTCGTAGCGCAGCGCGCTCTAACTGCTACACCACCGCTCCCCCTCCACATCAACAACAACCGCCATTCGCCATCAAGTGGCGGTGACGTCAATACGTCGCTTGTGCCAGGCTAGGTGCACGTTAAGGCCACGTGAAATGTGGAACGCGCGCTGGCAGGAGGTCACGGGACAGACCCAGCAGGTGCCATGGGTTGTCTGACTGATCCACGCACACGCGGGCTCGCACGAGAGACAGAGAGAGACAGAGAGAGAGACAGAGAGACAGAAAGAGAGAATTTCGCTCCCTTTACATTCCGCCGAGTGATACGCGACGGCGCCAGGGGGTGAAGGACGTCGCGAATGCCGGAGGATTAGCGGGGAGGCATTGAGCTGCGCCTGTGTGGGCCGGCGCGACGGCCGCGGCGTCTGTATCCATAGCGATCACGCGTGGTGGTGGTTGTAACAATGTGAGGTGGGGAAGCAATGGTTGGTGGGGGGGGGTGTCCAGGATGGGGCTCTCACCAAGTACGCGGGACAGCAGTAGCGGCAGCAGTGACAGTGACAGCAGTGGAGCGGAGCTGTTAATCTCCGGGTACAATTCCGCCTCGCCCTCTCGTCAATAGCGGGAGTTCTATTGTAGTAGTAACAGCCACTGTGGCAAGGCTCTCTCTGTCTTAAGAGGAGGCGGGATGGGGAATTTCACGCAGAATCCAATGAATCCACAACGTGATAAAAAAAAATCGTTCAAATGCTCTGGCCGGGACTCATTGTGTGAAAGTGACATGGTGATGACGATTATTATTATTGATAACGACAATATCGAGAAATTGTAATAATGAAGCCTATAGAGATCCATAATACAGATTTTTTTGAGGTTAGATCGCGTAAATATTCAAATGTGTCGTTAAACCTGCCACCACCCGACACGGCCAATTAGTAAGATGTGTCACGTAAACAGAACATGCCAATTCGTTACTAGTACAGCACACCGGTGTTTTGGAGAGCAAATACACAACATTTACAAAGCCTAAAGAGATACAATAGCATCTCGAGATTCATATTTATGTTTGGGTCAGATCGCCGTGTGACTAAAATTTGTGTCGTACACCCTCCTCCACCCGACACGGCCGATTCGTAAAGTCGTCACGCGGACAAACGTGCCAAATTATTATCTTATTTTAATTTACATTGGGGCCTTCACCAAGGCGCTGAACAAAGAATGAAGCATTTGCGCGTGACGAGATGAGTTGATGAGAAGGACGGCAGCACATGGGTGTGATGATGCGTGAAAAAAAACAACGCTGATGAAAGTGACAGTGAGCGGTTAACGATGAGTGAGTGTGACGATTGGGTAGGCAAGTTGGGAAAGGGCACGGCGGTGTCAATGATGAGGAAGGCAGTGGGAAGAGAAGTTTGTAAGGGAACAAAGGACAATGGACAGTGAAGCTGATTGTTTTGCCATGCAGGGGGCAGTTTGTTCCATACCGCTGTGCTTTAGCAGGGAGCAATCCAAACACATTTGACAATGAGGTCATAATTTGTTTCTTTTTAGCTTGTAGGTTTATTGAAATGTTTGAAATTACCGTATCAACCTCCAGCAGCCGACATAGATAATCAAGTTGTTACGTGGGCAAATGTGCCAATTGGTTTGGTTTTTCAGCAAACTGGAGGAACGTTGAAAAGCAATAAAATTGGTGACAATTTCGTCCAACGTTTCGCAGGGAGTACAATCAGCATCATCAGGAAATATTCCATAATTTTGGAAAATGCCCCCCCCCCCATCCCCCTTACTTCGGCGATCCGGCCCAAAATCCCAATTGTGAATTCAAATATTGGTCGCGAAAGCCGACGACTACTTGTTAAATGTAGCATCTCAACAAACCCATTAGTCAATTACTATAACCAGCACTTTCAATTGGAGAGATGCACTCTTGTAAATAAGAACAGTAATGATGAGAAGGTTAAGTTATAAAGCATCTGTAAACTAGAACATCTCATGGTACTCGTGATTGGAGCGCATGAACTACGGACACGCTGTGGGGGGCAATGGAGCATAGTTATTCATGGCAATAACGATGTACGAATCTTAAATTCTAAAGCATGTGATACAAGACCATCTCTCGGAAACGTGCAATTAAATATGAGACGCATCCGCAGTCTATTTCTCAAGAAAGGAAAAAAACATTTAAGACAGCTTCATAAAAGTGTGCGTAAGCCCTTTGACTGGGCGCAGAAGCGTTTAATTGCTTAAACTTATTCATGGACGTGTATGCGTGTCTACAATAATTGGAAAAATGCTCTCTCAATGGAAGAACATGACAGTTGAATGAAAGTTTGTAGTTTAAAAAAATAAATTTTAATGAATAAAGTGTTTAAATGAGATTGCGACTGAGAAAAAACAGGACGTGCGTTTTATTAGGTTGATGGGGAGAGACAGCTAAATATATACTTTTTGTTTTTAACGTGAACGGAAAACGGAACGTAAATTCATTGCTGCTCAATACATTTGCTACCTGGGGTGAATGGAATTGGTCAGGTGAAAGGAAATGGTTGGTCACAAGGTCGGGATGAATCTTTCTCACTGGGAGCTCTGTTAGAAGCCCCATTGAACGTGCAACGTTAGGCCAACGTCGGCATGTGGATGGAACCGTTGGCTCAAAGTTTGCCCCAACGTTCCAACGTACGTTGGCCCAACATACTGGATGGGCCTCGGTTGCTAAAGTGCATTTTGTTACTCGCGTTTTACTCTTTATTCCATCCATCGCGGTGGCACAAAGAAGTCACGTGGATTGTCATGACCAGTGGGCTTCTTTTAATGACGTGGAGCAGTGGCGCAGCAGTTAGCACGCTCCGCGCGATGAACCCAGTGACCCGAGTTCAGCTTGCAGCCATGGCTTACATCAGCGGCGAGGTGATGTCTGGATCAGGTGCCGGGCCTCCACCTTCTTGCACCAACCCGAATTAACCAGCGTGGTGAAGTATGGTCAGACAACTCCTATGACCGAAATGGCGTGGGAAGGCACCTTCATCCACCACTTAATTGACAAAAGGGCCGTTAATTTAAATTATTAAACAGTTATTGCACCGCTAACGATGGAACAATGAAATCCCAACGAAATGCATTTGAATGCCAAACTACGTGAAGAATTGAGAGTGAAAATTACCACACAATGAAGGAGAGAAAAGAAGAGTAGAGAACGGCCAACAAAAGGTTATATGGCCTGCAACAACCGCTGAGCCTCACGATCATTAGCATGCAAAACTCACTTCTCAGCTGCCCCCCCCCCGCCATCCATCTGCCCCCCCAGCCCCCACCCCTGCATTGTATGGATCATCCCCTCCCCCTCACCACCGCCACCCATCAAGCTCTCAAAAGTGTCAGAAATAAAGCGAGACGAGCGGGCGGGCGAGTGGACGGGCGAGCGAGCGAGCAAGCAGGGCCCAGCTATAAATACTGTCCAGCTGGCCCACGGCCCCGCTTTATGGCCATTAATCGGGCCACTTGGGACCGACAGTTACACACGTGCTACTCTTGTCGCAGCGTGGCCTTGGTGTTTTTGTGGTCCATGGCTCGGCAGCGATGAGGTTGGGGTTGGGGGGGGGGGCGTTGGCTTTGTTGATGAAAGTGCTGCGCTGCTCAACGAGGAGTAAAATACAAATGGCGTGGTTTGCGGTTGTTCGGTAAAACACTTTGGAGCGGACGTTACGTGAAACGGCCTTTCCAGCAACAATGGCACATTGCCTTTTGCCCTTTTTGAATTGTGGTGGTAGACTACACAGGCATAAGCTTGTGTTTGCAGCAGCTTAAAACGAGGGCCCCATGTCCAATTTCCATTTGGCTCTCTCTTTTTGTAGCCCGGTGATCTGCGGTGTGTGGGCGCCGGTGCAGTTGCAGCGCCTGCACACTCGATCGCTACGCCATTGGCAGGCAACGCTGCGAATGGGTCCTTTGTGTGTGTTTTTTTATCGGGGTGGGTGGAGGGGGGGTAACAGCGATTGACATACAGTACCTCAATGTAATGTTGTGCTTGGACTTTAATTTCAGATTAACTTTGAAGCCATGTGCCATACAGTATAAGCTTGCCACATTTGTTATTATGTTAGAATTCGCTTTAATGTGTTATCTTGAAACACGTGGTAACATCATCTTCGACTCCCAGCTATGGCTATGCCAGTGGTGAATGATATCTGAATTGGACCTGGGACATCACCCCACAAAAACCCTGCTAAACTGCAGTGGTAAAGTATGATCAAACAACCCACAAGACTGACACGGCATTGGAAGCCCTTCATCTACCAGTGGACTATACATTCCATAGAGCATTGATATTCAGTTTTTCAGTTTCAGTTTATTTTTTTGTATAGCCCTGTGAGCCATTCGGCTCTTGAATCGGGTGCAACCACAACAAACAAAAAAAACACGAACAAGAAAAACATCTTAAAGTGACTATGTGACTGTGCAAACAGAAAATCCATGAAAAAAATCAGCAAAATATTCCTGAAAAAAGCACCGTACACCAACGATGTGTGCAAAAAATCCCAGTGGGATGCAAGTCAAACAACAACAACCACAAGAAAACTTAGATTAAGGCCATCAGTCTAACTCCGTACTACAACAAAACAAACATGTCCAAACCAAAAAACTTTTCGAAATCGCCAAAAAAATAAAGCCATAATTGCAACGTAACAGTGATCACAGTGACTGTTATACATACAGTATATACCCCTTGCCTGAAGGGTAAGCCTCTTGTATACATTTCTGTCATAAGGCAGCGTTCATCACAGATGTGGTGAGTTTTTGAGCGTGGATGCGACTTATTACGTTCATATTCATTTATTATGCCACGTAATGAACTGAATGCAACTGCTCGAAAATGAATTGCCTAAATATCCAGGACAAATATCCCAGAAGGACACTCCTGTAAACATCATAACACTCAAGGTAACCTTTCCTGGGTGAACAGTAACATCATTTTTATCGTTGTGTTGTACGCTGTTATACATATGCTTTCACTACCAATGTAAGTCATAATTAGTTTTTTTTCCGGCTTGTAGGTTTAATGCAATGTTTGAAATTACCGTATCAACCTCCAGCAGCCGACAGAGCTAATCAAATAAAGTTATCACGTGGGCAAATGTGCTAATTGATTTGGTTTTTCAGCAAACTGGAAGAACGTTGAAAAACAAGCAAATTGGTGACACATTTGTCCGACGTTTCGCTGGAGATTACATCCAGCATCATCAGGCGTTGGCAAAAGCTCAGCTGCCATCGCGTGCATTACACACTTTTAAAAGAAAATCACCAGAATTGTTTGTTGACGATACAGCACTGACTTAAAAAAAATAAACTTCATAGGCGTTCCTCCGTAAATCTTCCCGCCCCCCCCCCCCTATCATTTGTTTTGCTAGAACTGGTCGAGGATGAAGGGTTCCTTCAGAGTGTTGAGGATGGCCTTCCTCCTGCTGCTCAGTAAGTGACGTTGCACCTCGAGTTCAGCCCCGCTTACTCTAGTACCTGACGAGTACGGCTAAGGGGCCGTCCATAAATGACGTCACGCGATTTTGGACGATGTTTTACCCCCCCCCCCATCGTCACATGGCGTCACAAAAAGTCAGACCCCCCTCAAATATGACGTCACAAAGCTCTGCCCCCCCCCAAAAAAACATGCTTCAAATGGCTTTAAACTATTGCCATTGTAGTGTGTATTTAATGTGCTGCTGCACTCTGATGTTGTAGGAAAACAAAATTAAAAAGTCCATTTAATTTAGTAGAACGTGTTGTCTATATTTATTTAAAGTTGCCCATTTTTATGTGACGTCACATTTATCACCCCCCCCCCCACCTCGTCACACATCGTCACAAATATCTGACCCCCCCCCCCCCTAGGTGCGTGACGTCATTTATGGACGGCCCCAAAGATGTTTGCAGTGATGGTTAAATATCGTGGGCCAGCATGTGGGCTGCACGTTGTGCGAAATTTAGTGGTGGGTCGAATCCAGCCTTGGCTCCATCTGATGCCACCTCAGATCTGAGGGCCACGGCTCAATGTCTCATTCTCTTGCCACACTTTTTTTAAATAATAATGATGATGATACGTAATACAACTTGTATTTAAATTACTTAAGGAATGTAACGAAACATCTGGGAGCGCAGTTTTTTTTGTTTTGCCAAGGGGACCTCCCAATGACAGCTTGTCCCTGTGCGGTACGACTTTTCGCTGGTACTCAAATTGTAAATGTTGTGGATTCACTCTTCAACACGCCGGTGGGCTGAAGTAGCAACTATTTGTCTTTTTGTTTACGTGACAAATCCCTGACTGATTGGCCGTGTCGGGTGGTATAGAGTTTCAACACATGTATACTTACACGATCTAACCCAAAACCTTCATTATGAACAATATTCGTCGCGAAAGCCCGCGTGTTAAACGGGTGATCATTTAGTCCGCCAGTAAGGAGTGGAGTCATTTGCGAGTGCTGTAGAGGTATTTAAAAAAAAACAAAAATGTGGACCCTGACGGCGGTATAACCACACACGGGCCTGTCGCCCTGTGCTCACACGGGCCTGTCACCCTGTCTCACTCCTGCCACTGCCTCCCTCGTCGCAGTGAGCGCCGAGTTGGGCCGCGCGGTGTGGCTCCGTCTCTCCCCGAGGGCGGCGCCCGCCCAGCCCAGCTTCGTGCCCCACCTGGCCGGGGTGTGGGTGGGTCTCACGCTCGGCCTGGCCGTGCTGCGCTGCTACGAGCAGCGGCTGCGTGACCAGTGCTGCTGGCGCGTCGCGTCGCTGGCGTACGCCGCCTCCGTGCTGCTCGCCGTCGCGTGCAACGTGGCGATGGGCGACCCGGCGGGAGCCGACAGGCCACCGCCGGCGGCGGCAGAGGCGGCGCCGGCAGGGGGCCATTGACCGTTGCTCTTGGCCGTGAGATCCCTCGCGGATCTGATGGGGCCCGGTTGCGGGTTGCCACCCACTGGGAGAAATTTCTACAAGGGCAGAACTTTGAAAGTGATTTTCCGCTCGAATGTTTACAGCCCTGAGCCGGTTGTGGGAATTCCACATTGATACGACGGGGGTGAGTCTGTCCATAGGAAAACCACCGTGGACTCATCTACAAAATGGTACTTAGTTTATGAAGCCGAGAGAGAGGATCAGTTGACTCAACCTCCCCCCCCCGAAACGGGATTAGAACTGGAAGTTTCTAATTGCAAGCTGCTTGCTCGCTCTACCCGAACCACCCGAGGTACAAAATTATCCAGGACATATCATGGGACGAGGAATATTTCGCAACAATATTAGGGGAAAACTTCATGTAAATTATATGTAAAATATATTGAGTGGTGTATTTTTCCGCAACTGACGAAAGCCAGGACTTTTAATGTCCTGGGAAGACTTTACAGATTTCCTAGCAATAGCTACCTCAAAAAGGAGGACGACCCTGGGAAAACCGGGACAGGTGGCAACCCTAGGCCCGGTTGTGATATTGTCAAGAGGGCCTCTATTCGGACGGGCGGACGGGCGGGTGGCATGAGCCCTCAGTGAACGTAGAAAATTGTCTTTGAGGTTGGGACGCAAATACCCTCTAGATGGGCTTCCTGGAGCTCCCTCCAGTGGAGGACCTTCTACGAGCAGTGGGTGAGCGAACGATGATCACACTACACGTTTACCTAAAATGGGATGCAAAGACAATGGCGTGTGGAAAAGGTGGTATTTAATTAAGCTGAATAATTTATACTGCGATAGTGTTATTTTTCGTATTGTTTTTTATTTAATGAAAGTGATTTTTTTTTCCATATAGATATTTAAATGTTGACGTTCTTATTTGCTTTCGTTGTGTGAATTACATTTTCATCAGCGTTGTCGTTTTTATACAAGTAAATGATACTGCCATTTTGGAAAATAAACACATTTTGACACATGTGCTGTGAAATTGACGATTTTGCTGCCAGAGAGATTTGATGTTTTGCATATTTTGCCAAAACTTTGATGTCCTTGACTTATAATATACGCCACATTTTTGAAACCGCACTTTAGCACACATTCCTAAATAATGTAAAACTATTCTTAAGCCCTTTGTCACCACAATACTGGATGAACAGCACATGTTGATCGTGAGATGTTGTTTTCACCAAGCTGGTGAAGGTGAGTGACGAGGACCTCCTCAGATATCACTCGCCAATGATGGAAGTTGCGGCTGGGTATCGAACTCGGGTTTCCAGGTTCGTTGTGCAGTACATTAAATACCACCACTACACCCCAAATACACACACACACATTTAAAGCCATGGAAAAGGTTAAAGAGCACCCTTGTAATTTGAACATGATTTCCAGATGCTGACTACCAATTAGGTTTCGATTTAAAGCTTTCGTGAGAACTTTATTTTATTGTTTTATTTTTATTATTTTCCTTCTACGTGACTTTACCGAAATAACCAAGAAGATGTACCGATTAGGTTGTTTTGTGTGGTTATGTTGTAGAGCACCCTTGATGTGTTTTCGTGTTTTACCACGCGTTGAATAGTTCCAATTCATTCCCAGTAGAAGCCACCGGCATTTGGTATGAAACATCGGACATCATGCCATCGGAGGGCCAGACAGCAATAGATTTTCCGAAGGGGCTGTGTTTGCCATTAAATGGTTAAGCCAGTCGGTCGGTCCTCTGTTAGGTTGCAAAAGCCACGCTGAGCAGAGTGGAGCCCACGAATGCAATAAGGAACGCAGGACAGCCCCCTGGACCACTATTTCATTTTTACAGTTTAATCAATTTCCATAAAAGTGACTTTTACATACGCTGATAAACACATTCCCATGTGACCTCATTTAATGCCCTTATTTAAGTGCCCCATTCCATGGATGCCTTTACCAGTTCACCATGACTCTGGATGATTTCACATTGAGTCCAGAAACCAGAGTTTGATTGCTAGCCGTGGCGAATGTCAGTGGTGAGTGAAATCTCTCTCCACCATTCAGTGACCAGCGTGGTGAAGGTATGGACAGACAACCCCCATGGATGACAGGACATTGGAAGGCTGTAATTCAGCCGTGGAATGACAACGGTCTGAAGGCCTCCCCAAGCCATTGCCATACCTCATGGTCATGCGATGCAACAATCCATCCACTACGTGCACACAAGCTAAATTATCGCTCCATCTCTGCGGTGGCTGGGCCTATCTTAGGCGTGATAATCATTCGGCTGTCACTCCATCAATGGAAACATGTAATTGTATTTGCCTGTACCGTAAGGCACACAACATTAGCTTATAGCAGGTTTATCACATCATGCCTATGTTCCTCTGAATACAAATATAAAATTGTGTTGTGCCAATCCACCTGCCGTGCCACCAGTTTTCACACTCAGGGCTCATGGTGAGGACTTGTTTAATGTAATCCTCCACCCTCTGCGAGGATATACAGTATTTATAAAGAAGCCTACAAATCCCATAGTGGAGCCAGCGAAGTGTTTCCGACACAGAACAGAAATTATCATCTTGGAAGTGATCTACAATCGTTTGTGTGAGCTGATTTTTTAAAATTCTAATTGTTTAGCTTCATACACTATTATTTTAACTATTCCTAAGCATAACATCAGTCTGTGAAGTGCTATTTGAGAGATGGTGTACAATTAAATGAATGATCATAACTAGCTTTGAGCTATTTACTGCTGGATGAAGGCCTCTCCAAGCCATTGGGATTGTTCATGGTCATGCAATGCAACAATCCATCTATCTCCTGCACATGAGCGTATCTCATAACTTCATTTCCTTTGGTGACCACTCAACTAGTGACATAGCCTGCCTCGTATATAAGAGCAAAATAATAATACGAGTAATAGTTATAAATTTCAGTTTATTGAGAAGTCCTCGTGCCATTTTCAACATGCTCTACTGTTCTCGATAAATATAAAGAGCCCTACATTGTGTTATTTCTATGTTCCATGGTTGGAATTCAGCAGGGCGTCCCTGGTTATTGCCTAGGGTATATTAACCATAACATAGTAAGCACCGTCTCTTCATAGTGGACATCATCGACGCAAGTAGACCATTATGTGCCTGCATCATGGTCCACATTTGCCAAATTCTTAAATTACACTACACAATTATCAATTGAGGAGTACACAATACGATCATTGCCACCTATTGGCAGACGAATGATCACTTGCAGGACAGGTGCTGTCATTTTTCCACACAGAGACAGCTGCAACTGGGGTTGCTCTTTCAAATGTTTCAGATGAGGTGTAATGACTTGTGACTTGTTGAACTTCTTTTGCACCGTATGCAGCCAACCGTGCTCATCAGAGGTGGGTGTAAAGCGCTGTGAGACGCCACGGCTTAACGGGCGCTCTTTCCAAACTAAATAAACTAAATAATATCCATGATCTGTAATGTGGTACCACCGCCCCGTGGCAGCCTGCACGCGGTTGCCCGGGGAACAATGAGGCTGGGGACACAATCCCACGAGGGTCTTCTTGTGACAACAATTCGTGCAAGAATGCCGGGCGAGCCGCTCAAGTCAGAAGTCGACCCGACACACACGCGCACATACACACACGGGAATATCCCCCGACCTCCGAACCCTTTCACCTGGGTTCTTATCCCGGCGACTTGGCAAGTGACTTTGCCGTGAGTTTCCCAATTGTGAGGGAGTATGAACAGCAGGGTGAGGGAACCATCGGGCCCCTGTGTTAAGTCAAGGGTTGGCCTTGTGTGTGGCCACCAACCATGTTTTACGTTTGATTATAAATTATGAACTCCAATGCTGTGCAGAAAGCAGGCGGAAACCAAGGCAGCCTGTCAGGTACATTAACACTGAGAGCCAACCAACGTGCAATGGTCAACTTTACAAATCACCAAACTATTTACACGTCTCTCCACATAAACAAATCTAAGTATTTGTTTTACACTACCCATCAGCCATGTATGAATACGTAATATCAGCAACATTGATTCAGTCCAAGCAAACGCTCGACCGATTTCAACACAGCGCCTCATCTGGAGAGTCAGGCTTGCATCAAAGACAAATGCATGAAGGCGAGGCGTCGTCTGGTTGTCTGTTTTCTATTTATATTCTCCACGGCTTAATTTTTTTGGGGGGTTAAACTTATGATCGCATTGTCTTGATTAAACGTGGATGAACGTTTCTCTACGGGTCTTGCTGCGAGTGTGGAGCAAGGTGCGGTGGGCAGGGTTAGTGCTGAGACAAGCGATGGAGAAAGGCAAGAAGTACATCTGCCCTTTTTGTTGATGCACAGAGTGATCATATTCGTTGGCCTTTAAGCCTCGGCTTTGACCATCTTCTTTGTGTCGGCGTAATGGTGATTCACAATGCACTTTCAATGGTTATGTTTTTTTTGTTGTCGTCTCTCTCCCAAATATGCATTTCCAAAATGCATTATCGGCATGATGTGATGATATTATTTATGGACCATGTAGAAAAACCGCTGCAGTCTCTCACTTGTTCAACGGCGGAACAGCAACACTACCAAAACTATCAAGCCCTCTTGTCGTGGCTAGCAGACCTCGACATTGGTATTGCGCTCCTGAACACGTTGCCATCATACGCAAGCATATAATTACATTGTTATTTGGTTCTTTCGGTAAAGTCACGTAGAATGAGAATAAAATAATAAATTGATAAAATAAAATAACCCAATAATATTCTCAATTCTCAATTTATTATTTTATTCTCATTCTACGTGACTTTACCAAAAGAACCAAAGAAGATGAATCCTTGCAGTCACGAAAGCTTTAAATCGAAATATAATTACATTGTTATTTGGAACGCTCACGCGGTGTAACATCACCCAATGTTAGAGAACAACCGGTGGAAGATGACATTAAAGAACTGCTTCCGAGGCCGCTTCAATCGCATGCCCCTGCGATCGTGATGGTGCAATGTATGCAGACTCTCGTTGCTCTCCAACACACCGGTGTGCTGTACTTGCGTAATGACTACTTGACACACTTCTCTTGAGATGGCACTTTATTAAAGACACGCTCATTTGACATCAGGCGGAGACCCCCACCGCAACAGCCCCAAGTCTCCCGCGCATCTCCCCCTTATATACCGAACGAGGCCACGCCCCCCTTCCCGAACCTTCTCGCTGACTCTGGACGCTCGCTCCACCGGCAGACTCCACCGTCCTCTTCCGTCGCCTGACCACGCTCCCTTCTCGGTCATTCCCGTAGCCATGGGTCCCTTCGCACTCACAGCTGACTCCCCTGTCAGTACCTCCCGTGGCCACTAGCCCACTCGTACTGTCGGCTGACTCCCCTGTCAGTACCTCCTGTGGCCACTAGTCCACTCGTAATGTCGGCTGACTCCCCTGTCAGTACCTCCCGTGGCCACTAGCCCACTCGTACTGTCGGCTGACTCCCCTGTCAGTACCTGCCGTGGCCACTAGTCCACTCGTACTGTCGGCTGACTCCCCTGTCAGTACCTCCCGTGGCCACTAGTCCACTCGTACTGTCGGCTGACTCCCCTGTCAGTACCTCCCGTGGCCACTAGTGCACTCTAACCGCACGCAGGCTCTGTCATTACACTAGTAACGAATTGGCACGTTCTGATAACGTGACAAACCATCCTAATTGGCTGTGTCGAGTTAGTGGCGGCGGGTTAACAACACATTGAACCCCCCCCAAACCCCTCTATCTATGTTTACAAATCTGGCTGTTGCCTGATGATGCTGGTTGTAATTACTGGTGAAACGTCACGTTACTCGAATTGTAAATGTGTTGTGGGTTAACTCTCCAACACAACCGGTGTGTCGAACTAGTCACTAATTGGCGTGTTTCTGTTTACGTGACAAACCTTGCTGGTTGTGTCGGGTGGTGGCGGGTTTAACGACACATTTATATTGACGCGTTATAACTCAAAAAAAGACTCTGTGATGGAATTTACTACCGGGAGTTGGCGTTGATTGAGAGGAGGAGGTGGTGGGGGTGTTGGGGGCGGTGTGGGGAGTGCGGTGGGGGTGAGGGGGTGAGGGGGGTGCGGTGGGGGGTGTGGGAGGGTGTGTGGGGGGGTTGCGGAGGAGTGCGGGGGGTGTGGAGGGGTGGGGGGGGGGTGTGGCTTACGGCACGACTGACCTCCGCCCACAAGCCGACATCTGTCCAATCAGAGCCTTGTAACCAAGAGGGGCGTGGCCCCTTCCCTCCCGGGCTCCGATTGGTCAAGCTGGGGCCGGCGCGCGGTGCACGCTGGGAGCGGGACGCCGCCATTTCGCGAGCCAGCGAAAGCATTTTTTTTACACCCCTAACACGAATCGCGAGGCTTCGTCTGCGC